TCGCTATGGAGGAGGACCCCGGCGGGATGGAGACCCTGAGGGTGGAGGAACCCTCAGGGCACTATAGTGCCAGGAAAACGAGTATGTTTTCCTGGCACTATAGTGGTCCTTTAAGAGTAGTGGAAGTTGGCATCCAGACCACTCCAATGGGCAGAAGTGGTCTGGGTGCCTGGAGTGTCCCTTTAAGGCAATGATTAATAATGTTCAGACAAAACTAAAATATTACAAATTACAGATCAGCCAGCAAAAGCTGATTTTACTGGTACACAAAATGAGATATGGATCCCATGCATGTAGATAATTCACCATTTTTTTTTGTTTTTTTAACATTTAAGCTAGTTGTGTAAATTTGATGGCTTGGTAATGTATATTTTGATATATTATGTATTATTACATTTTAAACATGCATAATATCAGTTTCCTGTTTGAAACTCAAGATGAATCTAACTTATGAATTTACTAGATGTAGGGTAACAATGTATCCCACCCATCTATCCTAACCTTCAATATCTATCTTTCTGTTTATCAATTTTAAAAGAAGAAATACTAGGTTGTTGCCTTAAAGGACCACTCTAGGCACCCAGACCACTTCAGCTTAATGAAGTGGTCTGGGTGCCAGGTCCTTCTAGGGTTAACCCATTTTTTCATAATTATAGCAGTTTCAGAGAAACTGCTATAATTATGAATGGGTTAAGCCTTCCCCTAATCCTCTAGTGGCTGTCTCATTGACAGCCACTAGAGGCGCTTGCGTGCTTCTCACTGTGATTTTCACAGTGAGAGCCGGTTGCTGAAAGCGCCGCGCGGCGCGTAACGGAGAGAGGAGGAGGAGAGCTCTCCAGCGCTGGAAAAAGGTAAGTTTTTACCCCTTTCCCCTTCCAGAGCCGGGCGGGAGGGGGTCCCTGAGGGTGGGGGCACCCTCAGGGCACTATAGTGCCAGGAAAACGAGTATGTTTTCCTGGCACTATAGTGGTCCTTTAATAGTACCTTCCATTTATTTTAGAAAAATATCTTCTATCAGTTGAAGTTGTTGTCATATCAATTTCTTTGTTTTCATGAAGAATATCACAGCTGGAAAAAAAGGATGAATGATGTACACCTGGCTTTCATAAGGACTATGGTTACATTACATTTTTTTATGACCACGCTTGCTTGTATTTTATTTAACTGTTCATTTGCTATGGTATGTAATATTATGCATAATATTTAACTGATAACACATTTTCTACTTTCTGTTACCCACTGTCTAGGAAAATCTTGTATTGTAACATCATTTAAGCCTGGTCCTCATGTTTTTTCCAGGTTGCCTAATTTGTCATAAATTAGCTGCATGCTTTGTTCTGTTTACTGATGTACAGCGACGTGGAATATGTTGATGTTTTATAAATAACAATAATAATATGCAGAAACTTGTTTTGTAGAACTTACAAATCTTATAATAAAAGTAAAAAGTAAAAAATATAATAGAAAACCATCACTCATTTGCAGGCAATTAGAAGAAGGGAAATTAGAACTACAAAAATAATTCTGAAGAAGATCTCTTTGTGTTCCCAGTCTAATTAGGAGGATTAAAGATCTCCCTGGAAACATGCATTGTCTATGGCTGCAGCAGTGTGATGGTTGTACAGACAACTCTTTTACAGATCAGACTAGTGTGACCTTGTCTGTGACAGCAACTAATTATATACTTCAAAGACGTTGTACACATTACAATTTGGTGATATCTATTATTTTAACCATTAAAAGTTATTTTGACTGTCAATTAATTCTAATGTTTCAGATGTAAGCTCGATTGAGCAGGGTCCTCTTCAACCTATTGTTCCTGTAAGTTTATTTGTAATTGTCCTATTTATAGTTAAATCCCCTCTCATAATATTGTAAAGCGCTACAGAATCTGTTGACGCTATATAAATGGCAATAATAAATAAATAAATAAATAAGATGAACTATTTACACTGATCAGCCACAACATTAAAACCACTGACAGGTGAAGCAAATAACATTGATTTTATTAAAGGACACGGAGACTCATATTATGCTTAATCTCTTTCTTTATTCCTCAGCATCAAAGAAAGGATACTGTTATATTCATAGACATTTTTTAACATGTACCCTCAAAGGGTTAACAACATAACAAGATATCAAATAAGAATGCTCTCTGCATCATAAACCCCCATGTGACCCTAAGCCACTCCTCTTTATTTGCTGCTGCCTACTCAGCTAAGTATAATTCAATTTCTCTCTGTCTTATACCAGTTATTTTGGCGTTGTGTATATAATTTATGTTTTCTCCATACTGTTTATCCAGTTCAGTGTTCTCCCTTTGTTTGCTACTGTTTAGTATTGAAAGCACTGCTGGCTCTTGTGTGTTTTTCCCTTGGTCCTACTTTCCCTCCCTTACACCCCCCACCCCTACTCTACCTTGTCAGATTGTTTATAACCGATGTTCTGGGGCAGTTAGCAGCCTCCACGCCAGAGGTTTCTCTCTGTCCTGTAGTTTCCCACCCAAACCCGAGTTTCCTCTCGGTCCCGACGGTTCGCGGCTATTGCCGCCAATCGTGCACACGCACATCGTAAGTGCACATCGTAAGTGCACATCGTGGCGGTCATATTGTAATTGGCAGTTTGTTTCCTGGGCTTTTCGCTGGTTCTGGGGGCGGGTGTGGGCCGATTGGTCAGCTAAGAAGCTGGGCAGCTCACTAGTTCTCCCCAGGAGCTATTCCTGAGGGAACACTTGGTGTGCTTTGCCTTTTTCATATTTTCATATTGTCTCAGTAGTGTGTGTTTAAATTTGGTCAGGTAGCACCAGTGGCGTAGCGTGGGTTGTCAGCACCCAGGGCAAGGCAAGTAATTTGCGCCCCCTAACCCGTGGATTTTAGCACTCGAGTCTCTTCCACTAGATTAGTTAAAGAAACCCTTACCCCCCAAGCACATGTATTGTTTGTTATGAAAATACTTATGTAATTAAAGTAAAATGCATCTAAATACAAGTTTATTTTCCAACACTTTATTGAGTGCGAACATGCATTACACACATTCTCCACATTTTCAGCAGGTCTATGAATACAAATATACAAATGTAGTAACCTAGCATGGGCCATGCTATTATATGTCGTCTCACAACCATCGTAAACGACAAAAAATATCAAGAACAAAAACTAAACATCAAAATGGAACCATACCCTGGAGATGATCCAAGACTGGGCTTGATGGAGCCAACTTCCTCAATCCTGTACCTCTAATTGTAATTCTTTAATAGAAGTGCAAGATATCAATCTGTATATGATATACATTTTAATTACCAGATTTTACTATTAACATGACGTAAAGTCATGATTTTATTAATGACACGGAGGCGAGTATTATGCATTCTCTTTCTTTATTATACTCCCAGCAGCAAGAAGAGGGAAGTATGAGAGAATCATAGAAAAAAGAAAACCATAACAGTATCCTGGTAACAGTAGCACCAATCAGCATCCAGTATAATCCATATAGGTGTAGTGCTCCTTGACTCCTCCTCTTTCTGCGTAGATCCCGAAGACCATTAGTGCAAATTTTCAAGTAGTCCAACCATAACTACAAATCCACGAACCAAAACCATAACTGGAACTTCGATTTAGAACCGTTTCAACCGCCAACTCTCCAGTTGTATTCAAGCTAAAAGAAAGGAGAAATATGGTAATATCGAAATCTCGTTACTGAATTCCGCAACCAACAAGTCGTCAATCATGTTAATCAAACGATGAATTACATCAAATCTTGACAGCCATATTGCTAGATCGAACTGCGTATCATAAAAACCACATTCATAGAATACCCACTCACCTGTGTCATGAATGACCATGTACCTACCGTATGAAGTCATCATAACTGCTTCATGTTCTGGTTGTAATTTATTCACCACTCCGGGTAGGGTGGGAGGGAATAATACTCGCCTCCGTGTCATTAATAAAATCATGACTTTACGTCATGTTAATAGTAAAATCTGGTAATTTTATTAAAGACACGGAGGCTCCTACTATTTTAAAGCTGAGCAACCACTGCACTGGAGATGTGTTGCACTGGGCGTAAATAGAAATTACGAAATGTAGACTCATTCGACCAGTCGGCTGCCCGTAGTATATCCTCCAATTTACAACCTATCATGGATGCCTTAGAGGCCATAGCTCCGCGAACAGAATGCGAGGAAAAAACCGAGGTGTCTATGCCTGCCATTGACAGCAACCATTTGACCCAACGAGCTAAAGTAGCAGTAGATACTGGTAGGTGAGGTCTTTTGAATGAGATGAACAGTGGATAGGTGTGTCCTGGACGGAGTGAAGCCGTGCGAAGCTCGTATTCTTTCAGACATAACACAGGGCACAAACTTGGATTGTCCGGCAATGATGGGTAGAACACCTCCTTGGTCGAGGATTTCGTTCTACGTGAAATATTAAAGGATACTCCGTTAGGGACAAAAACGCGTGTATGCCAGTCTAGCGCCCTGACATCAGCAACTCGTTTACATGACAGTAAACAAAACAGCATCAACAGTTTGGCCGACAATTGCTTCAGTGAAAGTTCCTGGTTCTTTAGCCAAGACTCGAGCAAACGTAACATCAGATTGACATCCCAAAAGGAAGAATATCGAGTCTGAGGAGGTCGAGTGAGACGGATGCCTTTGAGTAAGCGACATATAAGGGCATGTTTACCTATTGGGGTGCCATCCAACCCCATATGTCTCGCTGATATAGCTGATCGGTACAGATTTATAGTGCGAAAGGCTTTTCCTTGCTCAAAGAGTAGAGTCAGAAATTGTAGGATTGTTTTTATAGAAGCTGATATGGGATCCATTGACTGTCCCATGCACCAATCAGACCATTTTCTCCAAGCCGATCCGTAGGCACGTCTGGTACCTGGTGCCCATGACTCTGCCAAGAGACTGAGTGTCGTCTGCGAAACCTCCTCGAGATTCCATGATCTCCTGAAATGAGCCATGCCATCAGTTGCAGTAGGCCCTGGTCGACCAGCTCGTGACTCATTCCCTCTGGGTTGGTTAAGAGGTAGGGAATGTCCGGCAACAGTTGTGGGAAATCTATCGACATTTCCAATAACTGAGGGAACCAAGGTTGTGATCTCCATAACGGGGTTACCAGTGCCAGCGTCCCCTTGGAATATCGAAGGACCGTTAGGGTTCGAGAAACGAGGTTGAACGGGGGAAACGCGTAGTTCCTGCCCTTGGTCCAGTCCTGCAGGAATGCGTCTGTTGCCAGAGCATCTGGATCCGGTCTCAAACTGAAGAATCGAGGAAGTTGGGTATTCAGTCGAGACACGAAGAGGTCTATACTGAAAGGACCCCAGAGCCGAGAGAGGCGCTGAAAAATCATTGGGTGGAGGTGCCAGTCCCCCGCGTCCCGCAGGTATCGGGAGTTCCAGTCCGCCATTGTTTTGTCCTGCCCCGGAATGTACTCCACTATTACTGAAATGCTGTTTCTCAGGCAATAGTGCCAAAAATCTCGAGCCATCAAAGCGAGAACCTTCGATTTCGTCCCCCCTAGGTGGTTGATATAACGCACCGCTGAGACGTTGTCCATCTTGATTAAAATTGAACATGAAATGCCTGTGGGGGTCATGGCAAAAGACGCTGCCAATAGCTCTAGGCAGTTGATGTGTAACCGAGACTCTTGGTTCGACCATCTGCCACCGGTGGAAACTGATCCGCAATGCGCGCCCCAGCCATGTAAGCTGGCGTCCGACTCTATGACCAGGTCCGGCGTCGATCCAAATATCGCCCGTCCGTTCCATGCCTTCATGTGTGTTAGCCACCAGTCTAGTTCCTCCCTGGAGTCTTCGTCCAGTGTGACGCAGGTTTCGTATGAGTGACCAGAGCGTAGGTATGAGGCTTTGAGTCTTTGTAGGGCACGATAGTGTAGCGGCCCTGGGAATATCGCCTGTATGGACGATGCCAACAGTCCTATGATCCTCGCAAGTTGTCGGAGGGAAATAGTCGTACGATGCATAAGCCGTCTGATCTCCTTCTTGATCGAAATCATTTTGTCTTTGGGTAGACACAACCTCTGTCGAACAGAGTCGACTTGGAAACCGAGAAATTCCATCTGTCTGGAGGGTTGTAGAATTGATTTTTCCCAATTCACCAAAAATCCTAAGTTTTGGATAAGGTGGATCGTCCAGAATAGGTGAATAGGAAATTGGGATTGAGATTGGGACAGAAGAAGGATGTCGTCTAGATAAATTATTAATCTGACCCCTCGTGTGCGCAGGAAGGCAATCACTGGTTTCAGCACTTTTGTGAAGCACCATGGAGCGGAGGATAGGCCAAATGGCAGACATACAAACCTCCATTTCGCTCCTTGCCACTGAAATTGCAGTAGGTTTCGGTGCGCCTCTGCGATCAGGATGGTCAGGTAAGCGTCCCGCAAATCTATCTTGACCATCCAATCCGATGGTATGAGCAGGTCTCGAAGGCAATGAATACCCTCCATTTTGAAATGGTGGTATTGGACAAAAGCATTTAGAGGACGGAGATTTATTACTGGGCGTACTCCGCCTCCTTTCTTGGGGACTAGAAACAAATTGCTCACGAAACCTTCTGTGTCCCATGGGATTTGTTGAATAGCATGCTTGGACGCTAATTCTGCGATCTCTGTAGAGATAATCACCTGGTGTTGGCTGGTCATAGTTAGTTCTCGAGGGAGCTGTGTCTGAACTGGGTAGGAGGTTAACTCCAATAGGTACCCTTGTATCGTATTTAATACCCAAAAATCTGCGGTTAACATTCTCCAAGCATGATGAAACAATGCCAGTCTGCCCCTCACTTTTACATGGGAAAAACGGAGATATTCGGTACTCACCATAAGGTCTTCTGCTTGAAACAGACCCCCGTGGTCCACGGGAACTCCAGGGCCGTCTCTCTGGTACCGGTCTCTGGTTATTAAAGGAGCCTCTGCCGGCTCTAGTTGAGCCTCGAAATCCACGGCCGGGCAGACGGCTCCTTCCTCTGCCGGCCCCTCCAAAAACCCGTGGTGCAAATACTCTCTTAAGAGATGTCTGAGCCTTATCAATTGCCGTAAACGTTTTAACGTACAGCCCAAGATCCTTAATAAAGGATTCACCAAATAATAAGCCTTTAGCCGCTGGGCCCGGCTCGTTGGTCGCCATGCTGGTCAGTTTTGGCTCTATTTTTAGAAGAATCGCCTTGCGGCGCTCGGTAGCCATAGCTGCATTGGCGTTACCTACCATGCAGACTAATCTCTGCAACCAGCCTATCGCTACCTCGAAATCAAATTCGCTTTCGCCCGATTGGGCGGACTCCACTAGCTCATAAAGCTTAGTTATGGGTCCCAAAGTATCAAGGAATTTATCTTGGCAGTTTTTGAGGGAAAAATCCAATCCCTTCCTTGGCTTCCAACCCGACTTGTTCAAGAATTGGACCAACTGAGGGTCCACGTCCGGTGTCTTTTCCACCGAGTCTGGGAGTATGGGTCGTGGGCATTCGGCCCGTAATTTATTGCGCCCCTCTTTTGATAAGGGCTTTCGCACCCGAAGTGCGAGATACTTAGCGATTTGAGTAGGCGGCTCCCATGCCGCCGATCGAGGATGACGAAGGTCATCTGGGTCAAATACCGGGTTACCCAGTGGGTCCCGCAAATAGTCGCCCTAGCCAGAGCCAGGAGGCGTAGTGCCCTAAATCGTACTCTTTTGGGTAGCAACGCCTGTTTGGATGTCAGACCCGGAATCCGAAAATTCCGCGCTGTAATGATCCATATAGGGATCCTCATATTCTTCCTCCACACTCTGGTCCGAATCGGACGAATCCCCATGGGCACGTGCCCGTTTCCAAGTTCTGGCCGATTTTGCCCGGCCAGGGGCTCTAGTGCGCGGTGGTATCGCGCCATCTTTGACAGCCTGAAGCGTGTCATTCGATGCAGGCTGAACCTGCAGTTCTCAAGGGGAGGTTACATGTTTTTTGCTAACGCCTTACGTCCCGGTTGAGCCACGTTAGTGGGTACCGGGTTGCGTGTGTTCTGCTTGCCACTAGTCTGTGTCTGTATCAATGCCTCTGTTATAGACTGAGTGATAGAAGACGACATGACCCCCATCGCAGAGGTCAAAGCTTTGTTAATGGATTGTGCCATGGTAACGTCCAGGAGGGACTGAAACTCCTCAGATGCCATGAGGCTGGCGTCACTTTTACTTCCCTTGTTAGAGGGGGAAACGCCTGATGTGGGGTACATGGACCCTGAAGGTCTGTCACTCTGGTCCTGCATAGCAGTTAAAATCTTTACAGGGAATATATACCCTAGTTCAACTAGTGGAAATATTAGGCCAGTAAAATCCACTTATACACTTGGTATCAGTTAAAAGTACTAGCAGAGTGTTTTAATCTGTAAAATTAACTTAGGAAAAGTTAGCAAAGAAAATGGTGTCAGGATAGATTAATCCTCCACACCACACTTACAGTTTAGTAGACAAACAAAACCGAAATATACACTGCAATTATAGCCCAGTCTGGGTCCTAGGAGAGTGCTTGGGCGGGTAGGAGAAGCCGGTAGAAGGTTTATTCAGCAAATTCCGGCCGAAATCGCGCTTAAAATGGCCGCCGCGAGTGTAAACTTACACTCCCGGCGACATAAACCAAAAAGATGGCTGCCGCGCAATCGACTGCGCATGCGCGACCGGGCCGCAAGTGGAAAAATAAATTCAATGGCCGCGCATGCGCGGCCGGCCGCAAAACAGCGGAAATACCGCGGACGTAAACCGAAGGTGCCAAGCCAAGCACCAGAAGCCAGGTAAGTAGCCCCAGTCACCCAACAGAGAACCAACATGTGGGGCAGGGAGAAATCACTCCCCTGAAGCAGTTAGGCAGCACTCTCCTTAACACCAGAAGGGCATAAAACAGAAGTAACACAGAATGACATAATACTAACTTGTAATAATATCATCTAAGAATCATTCAATTAATGTGCAGTAATTAAATACAAATAAATGTATAAAATTCACAAGAGAAACAAAATGAGGTACTTAACTTGTCTGAGGGAGCAGCAAGAAAGAGGAGGAGTCAAGGAGCACTACACCTATATGGATTATACTGGATGCTGATTGGTGCTACTGTTACCAGGATACTGTTATGGTTTTCTTTTTTCTATGAATGTCTCTCATACTTCCCTCTTCTTGCTGCTGGGAGTATAATAAAGAAAGAGAATGCATAATAGGAGCCTCCGTGTGTTTAATAAAATTTAAATTCGCCTGCTTTTAATTAGCGCAAATTTTTCAACAACGGAATTGAAATCTACATTAAAGTCTCTCTCAATGGACAGTATTGCTAGATTACTCAGTCTTTCTTGGCTCATTGTAGATCTCTGATATGTTTTAATTAGTTTAAGTTTTGAGAAACTTCTTTCACAATTCGCTGTAGAAACAGTGATAGTAAGAAAGATTCTTAATGTGACAACAAAGTTAGTTAAAGTTTCTTGCAGCTTCCACTTATACACCCAGCGAAGCAAATCTAAAGCTGACCAGTTTGCAACCTGCTCATCAGGATTGACCTCCTTATACAGGGAGTGCAGAATTATTAGGCAAGTTGTATTTTTGAGGATTAATTTTATTATTGAACAACAACCATGTTCTCAATGAACCCAAAAAACTCATTAATATCACAGCTGAATATTTTTGGAAGTAGTTTTTAGTTTGTTTTTAGTTATAGCTATATTAGGGGGATATCTGTGTGTGCAGGTGACTATTACTGTGCATAATTATTAGGCAACTTAACAAAAAACTAATATATACCCATTTCAATTATTTATTATTACCAGTGAAACCAATATAACATCTCAACATTCACAAATATACATTTCTGACATTCAAAAACAAAACAAAAACAAATCAGTGACCAATATAGCCACCTTTCTTTGCAAGGACACTCAAAAGCCTGCCATCCATGGATTCTGTCGGTGTTTTGATCTGTTCACCATCAACATTGCGTGCAGCAGCAACCACAGTCTCCCAGACACTGTTCAGAGAGGTGTACTGTTTTCCCTCCTTGTAAATCTCACATTTGATGATGGACCACAGGTTGTCAATGGGGCTCAGATCAGGTGAACAAGGAGGCCATGTCATTAGATTTTCTTCTTTTATACCCTTTCTTGCCAGCCACGCTGTGGAGTACTTGGACGCGTGTGATGGAGCATTGTCCTGCATGAAAATCATGTTTTCTTGAAGGATGCAGACTTCTTCCTGTACCACTGCTTGAAGAAGGTGTCTTCCAGGAACTGGCAGTAGGACTGGGAGTTGAGCT